ATGGATCAAAGATCTGAACCTAAGACCTCAGACAATAAAACTACTTGTGGAAAATGCTGGGGAAACTCTGGGAGACATTGGAGTAGGCAAAGACTTCTTAAATAAGACTCCCAAAGCACAGGCAATAATCCCTAAAATAGACAAGTGGGACTATATTAGACTAAGAAGTTTCTGCACAGCAAAGGACACAGTAACAAGTGTGAACCGACAACCCTCAGAATGGGAAAATATTTTTGTTAAATATGCCTCAGACAAGGGACTGATAACGAGAATACATAGGGAACTCAAGTGCCTTATGCGAAAAAAAATGATTAACCCGATTAAAAGATGGGAAAGTGAGCTGAACAAAAGTCTCTCTAAGGAAGACATACGAACAGCCAAAAAGCATATGAGGAAATGCTCGACATCCCTCATCATAAGGGAAATGCAGATAAAAACCACAATGAGATACCACCTAACCCCTGTCAGAATGGCAAAGATTAAGAATATAAAAAGTGATAAGTGTTGGCGGGGATGTGGTGAAAAGGGAACCCTCCTACACTGTTGGTGGGAATGTAAACTAGTTCAACCACTGTGGAGAACAATATGGAGGTTCCTCAAAGATCTACAAATAGAACTACCATTTGATCCAGCAATCCCACTTCTGGGTATTTACCCAAAAGACAGGAGAACGCTCAGTCAGAAAAGTGCTTGCACATCCATGTTTATTGCAGCATTATTCACAATTGCCAAGACATGGAACCAACCTAAATGTCCACAAACTGATGAATGGATTGGAAAAGTGTGGTATATATACTCTATGGAATACTACTCAGCCATAAAAAATAACAAGACCCTGGAATTTGATAGAAAATGGTCAGATATGGAGGATCTATTGCTGAGTGAAGTAAGCCAGGCTATGAAAGAAAGATATTGTATGTATCCACTCAATATATACCGACTATCCGCACTCTATAATAGAGAGCAAAAATTCGGAGGACATAAACACAGTGAAGGTACTTAATGAGAATAGGACAGTGTGGAATGTTGGATTATGGTAAAATCAAATCTCAAGCCATGGGCATGTTAAGTTTCATTGCCCATAGTTAATTGCTTTATTCTGATGTTCTTTCTAAAACATTTTATAATAGCCTACAATCCCAAAATGGCCTCTTTTAAGAAAATTAATGAAAAAGACTCTAAGTACTCTTGAATATAGGTTTTTTGATAACTTTGAAATCATATTTCTGAACTTCCAGGTTTTATATGGAAAGATCAGACCATAGTAACACTGCAAACACAACATAAGAGAGATTAATTACATTAGACTGAACTGATGAAATAGACTATTACTTTTGACTAAAACCTTACTAATTTTTTCTTTTCTTTGTTTTCCAGATTTAAGGACTAAGGACTTTTGTTTTCTTTTGAGTTGTTGATAGGTTGAGCAATTTTTTTTGTAAATGGAATTGAAACATAAAGATTTCTTCCTTCCTGACCCCTCTGGAACTGTAAAGTATTTGTGAATATTCTTATTTTGGGGGCAGTATAGTTACTTGCATAAGTTCAATAATATCTGTTGTCTTGCATCAGAAATTAGAAATACTGGTTATTGCCAAGGCTTTAACTGGAATGTCATATCTAAAGATATGACCAGAAAGCTAAGAAACTAATGTCGATCTCAAGTAAGCCAACAGAAGCTTTTGGAAAGATTGCCTGGTGCCATAACAGTTCTGCCTGGCAGGTAAGTAAAGAATGTCACTTCCTGACAGATCTGAAAATTTCCAAGTACAGGTACGTAAAGGCACAGTCAGATGGTGAACTCCTGACTTGGCTCAGTAGCCTTGGAAGACTTTTTTTAACAGTCTAATCTGAAGTTCCTTATAAAAAGTTCCAGCAAAGCCAGCTAAATCCATTAGTATTCTTACAGGGCTTTGTGCAAATAACAGACTAAATTGAAACTAAACTTATTTTTCTGCAAGTTTATGCTTCTTTTTGGTAAAAGGGGGAATGGAGAGAGAAAAAAATGTTTCAGAAGAAAACTATAGTTACTAGATTTTAGTTCTGTCCATATTTGTTTTTTTGAGTTTTTAGTATCTAACTACTGTTTGAACAGAATCTTAACCTTTTTCCTGGCCTTAAGTCTTAAGCAAATTTTTCTTAACATTTTTAAAATTTTGATTCATTAAAACTAAAACTGCTTTTCTTGGCATCTAAAAATAATAAGAATAATAGAAAACTTAAGACAGTGTGGGAGAAGGGTGGGCAATAGAGAGAGGGGAGGAAATAAAGGTAAAAAGGCAAAACATTTAACGCACACTAAAATGAAAATTGCTGATGATAATGTGTATGATAGTATCTTTGACTGGACTGATATGCAGTGTATTCAAGATGGCAAAGTGAATTTTGTATGCTGTGAAGATGTACAGTGATTAAATGTAAAAAGAAGTTAATTAAGAAATGTGGAAAATGGAATTAAAGTATAAATTTATTTTAGTGCAAAAAAAGTTAAAATTCATGCATAGTTTCTTCATAATACATATTTTCATGAAGTTTTTAAAGAACTCTTGTATATTTTATATACATCTTACACACAGAGCCTGAAAGTAATTTTATACGCTATATTTTATTGGAGGGTTTTGCCTGCAAACTGTCACATGAGGTCAACCGTGAAATTTTCTGTTCGTGGTGTCATGTTGGTGCTTCTAAGCTTCAGATTTTGGAGCATTTAGGATTTGATATTTTCAGACTAGGAGCAGTCAAGGTGTATCTTCATTCTTTCATCCTCAGATCCCTCAAATGCCTTGCTGACACATGCACCCACACACACAAGCGAGCAAGAAAAAAAGGTAAAGTTTTGATGCAAGTAACAACAACCGAAGTCCCTATGGCTGAAGAGACAGAGAAGTTTGTTTCTCTCTCAAGTAAAATTCTGGATATAAACAGTCAAACTGTCCCACAAAATAGAAGCATTATTTAGTCGCTTTACCTTATCGAGGCTTCACCCTTCCCAAGGAAGTCCTAATTATGGTATCTGCAGGCCAGTTAGCAGGAAAGGTGAGGGCAGAAAGAGGGGCAGGGCAGGAAAACAGCATCTGTCCTTTAAGGAAGTTTCCTAGAGGTTTTTGTTTTGTTTTGTTTTTGAGAGGTTTTCGCTGTAGGGCGCATGCGCTCGCCAAGCAGACAGAGAGAAACAGAGAGGCAGAAAGCGAGAAATCACCCCCCAGGAGGGATGGCCACGCCACAATCCCTTCTCCTCCGTTCTCCTCTTGGGATCTTGGGCACGCATGCACATGCGCCCGCTGTGAGATTTAAGCCACCGGGTCCAGGACACGAACCAGGTCAACTACGTGGGAGTCCAGCGACATAGCCATTACGCTAACTGCTGGTCCCTCCTAGAGTTTTTATATACCACTTCTCCTTCTCTCTCTTTGGTCAGTTACTAAACTACCACATTTCATCACTATGGAGGCTCACAAGTGTCATTTTTTATTTTTCATTGCGTTCCCAACGGACATATTGAGGTCTTGTTACTGAGAGCAGTGGAGAGAGCAAATACTGGCCCAGGACTAGCAAGCTGCCATATGGACTTCCTTATTTCTCCCTTGAGGGAATTTCAAGGGAGATTTTGTTCTCGGAAGTTTCAGAGCAGATTTGTTTCCTTCCCCGCTCACCCTCCACGATCTCTTTTTTTTCCCTTAATCTACCCCAAAACTTTTTTTTTTATTGTTTTTGGAGAGATTTTTGCTATAGGGCAAATGCACTCACCAGAAAAACAGAGAGAGATAGAGACACAGAAAGGGAGAAATCATGCCCTATGCTGCAATCCCTTCTCCTCCATTCTCTTCTCAAGATCTTGGGCATGCACGTACACATGCCTGGCACGAATTTAAGCCACCGGGTCGGGGACTCAAACAGCAGTTGACTACATGGGAGTCCAGTTACGTAACCATTACTCCATCTGTTTATAAGTTTATTCTTATCTATCTAAACACATTTCTCCTGCTCAAAGAAGAGAGGGGAGCAATTAGTGAAGGAGAAACCAACTTTCACTAGTTAAGCTACTGAATGCTAAGAATTTTAATAGGAGGATCTGAGCCAAATTCTAATCCTCTGCTTGTGTGTTTGCTACCTAAATTGAGACCACAGTTCATCTTAATTGAACATAAAATCTCCTGTTTGATCCTCAGCAGTGAACAGTGTTTTCATTTGTTAGTAAGTGGATTTTGCAATTCTTTCCAAAAGAAGCTAAACTTTAGCGATCATTGCAACCACTCACATTCAGACAAAAACCCAGAACATTTAATACTGTCTGGGGAGATACCAACCTCTGTGGGCTGGAGACTCAGTCATTTAAATACAAATTAAAGCTGCAAACATAGACCCAGTTAGCTGGGCAGTTGTTCACACACTCTGTAGTTTCAAAACGATGTCTAATTTGAAAGAACAGAGCTAAGCCAGCCGAGCCCAGCCAGCCCCACACACATACTCCATCCCACCTATACTTTACGTATTGGGCTTCTCTATGAGTCATTATTTCAAGAAATGTTTTGACTCCTTTTAAAATATGATGCCTTGTTCCCAGCCCTAATCCCATTCCTTATGAGATTTATCTCTGGGGAATACTAGGAGCTAAAATTGCTAAGCCTTTCAGGAGCTAGTGGAGAAGGGTGAAAAGGCAAGAGACCGATGAGAAAACTTTTGCCACCTCATCATTATTTATGTATCTTTACAAACGTATTTATTTAGGAAGATCACAACGAGGCTTGCAAACTAGAACCTCAATATATCTTGACTCTGGAGACTGTATCAGTGGATTTGTCTCGCTGGTAGTCACAATCTATGTATATAATTGAAATGATTCATTCTCTTCTTTTTCTCAGCCATGTAAATTTTTCTTTCTAACGCATAAGTCTTTTTTGAATGTGTGAATATCTTTATTGCCCCCCCAAACTGAGTGTTCCTATGTAGGTCAACATACATAGAGGAAATGATGACGACATATTACAACTTCACCACAACTTTATTGTTTTTGTATTATCAGAACCCTCTCAGCAGTCCCAACTTCATCTATCCGATATTCCGTGGAGTCGAAAAAAAGCATGAACGCATTTGTAGTCTTACTTTTGCTGTTGTTGTCCATTACAAAAGTTGAATCTCTTTCTCTAGTGGGTTGGCTACTTAAGTAAGAACCACATCTCAAATCACTAGTTCAAGGGTCTATATGCTAAATAAAATATTCTAAGAATTTATTCCTCTCGGCATCAGTTTCTTCATTTTCTAATTCATATTTCTTCATGGCAACAAAATAACGAATGAAAGTTTCACCTAGAGCCTCTCTCAGACATTGGTCTTCCTCCAGTGCCACCAAGGCATCTTCCAGTTTTAATGGGATCTCAGAAGGCTTTGATTGGTACAGGTCTGTGCTGTCCTCTGGACAAGCCAGGACGCCATCGCTGCTTTGAAGTCCATCCAAGCCTGCGGCCACCGTGGCAGCCAGTACCAGGTAAGGGTTGGCTGTGGCAGAGCCTAGTTTGTTTTCGATCCGCGTGCCCTTCTCCCCGTGGCACTTGATATTGAAGGCGCAGCTGTTATCGTTGTATCCCCAAGTCGTGGGCACGCTCTCCTTCAGGTCTTTACTCTCCTTGGAGTAACGCTTGCGGCAGCTCACGGCGGGGGCCATGAGGCAGCTGAGCGCGGCCGAGTGCTTCAGGAGCCCCGCCAACCATTTTCTCCCAGTGATCGTGAGCTGCTCATTTCCACAGCCACTGCAGAACATGTTTTCCTTCCCAGCGAGATCCCAGAGACTATGCGACAGAATTCCCGAATTGCAGAATCCAGTCTCAATGAAAAAACTGGCTATGTAATTGTATTTTCTTGCCACTTCTTTGACACCTGACCTGAGGGTAAATGCATTGTCAGCTGCACTGATGCCAAATTCAGGCAAAAAACAGATTTCCATCTGACCAGGCCTGGTGGAGGAGGAGAAGCTCTCCACATTGGCTCCAGTGTGATATAAGCCATCCACGAGTTCCTGCATGAAAGGTTGGTCGTGATTATCCAGTAATGTCGAAGCAGGAAACGATATGGTTTTCGAATTGATGATTTCAGGCACACCAAAAATGCAAAAATCGTAGATGAAGGCAGAGAGCAGGGAGAAGCCGTAGTCCTGCAGCTGACTCAGCTGCCTCTTGGCGATGTACCGCGGGGACGTCAGCAGAGGCTCGCCCGTCACCGTGAACGTGTCGCAGATCACTCTCGCCGTTCTCTCGGCCCACGGCAGAACTCGGAAGGTGGATAACTCTGGCATCAGGACTATGTCATTATTAAAACATGTGGCTCTTATGTGATTCACTTCGTTGTCCTTAGGATTTGGTATCAATTCCAGATAACCTCGGGGCATGTAAACACCATGGATCACTTTTTCCTAGAGAAGGAAAAGGACAGAGTAATTAGGTTTGGAATCTTGGAAACAAAGGGGTTGAAAATTACCTTGCTAATGAGAAATAAATGTTTTTGACATTTGTTGGTTAACACTAACTCCATATCGGATCAATTTTAAATATTTTAAAATAAAACCTGCAGAGGTACATTTATAAACAATAAGCCCTGAAGCCTTTATGTGCTCTTAGAGCTGAAAAATGCAGTTATAAATAAAAGACAAAATTTTTAAAAATCTCTGTATAGCAAAAGACAAAGTCTTTTGGAAATATTTAAATGAACACAAAAGTACTTCTTAAGCACTTTTATAGCATAGTTTCTAGATCCTCAGAGAAGGCTTTATTTTGATTTATTCTATTGTAAACCTGAGTTAACTGGGTCTTAAACGTCTAGTCAAGACTCTTCAACCTCAGAAAACCAAGTGTGGTCAGCCCTCCGGCACACGGACAGACGTCCTAACACCAGACAAGCCAGGTCAGCTGACAGCTGCAGTCTCTCTTCATTCAACTATTTAAGAATTAACTACTTGGGACCACTAGATGGTGTAATGGTTACATCACTGGACTCCTGCATAGTCAACCACAGTTTGAGTCCCAGGCCCAGAGGCTTAAAATTCACGTACGACATGTGTGCATGCGTGTCCAGGATCCCGAGAGGAGAATGGAGGAGAAGAAATTGTGGCATGGCTGTTCCCCACTAGGGAGTGATTTGTTTCTTTCTGTCTCTCTCTCTCTGTCTCTCCAGTGAGCACATGTGCCCTATAGCAAAACATCTCTCTAAAAATTAAAAAAAAAAAAAAAAAAAAAAAAAAAATTAACTACTTT